TTTTTTTGAGACAGGGTCTCACTCTGTTGCCTGGGCTAGAGTGCTGTGGCATCAGCTTAGCTCACAGCAACCTCAAACTCCTGGGCTCAAGCCATCCTGCCTCGGCCTCCCAGAGTGCTAGGATTACAGGCATGAGCCACCGCGCCCGGCCAAGACCCACTAGTTCGTAAGCCATATTGAACAAATAACCATACAAATCCTAACTGCTGCATAGATGAACAGTCTTCATAGTGCACTTTCAGTTTGTTGAAGTTGAATCTACTCTTTTTTGTATATTTTCCCACTTAAAAGTAAAGTAGATTTTAAGGGTCTCGGTGGCTTAAAAAACATAAAAATTTAGATTTCTCCCACAATTCATGGTTCTCAGATGAGACATCTTTCTGGAAATCTCTGGTCTGGGGATGTTTCAAGAATAAACAAGCATTCTTTAGACAACGAAACTTGTCTGCATGACTGTAATAGGCAGGCACCTCCATCCTCAGCTATACTGCCAGTATATCCTGGCACCACAGTGAGACGGTTTTACTGTTCCCACAGTCAACTTAATTGCTGTTTAAAATCTGAATATTTCTATTACTTATAATCTCTGTTTGGGGTGATAGTTCTGACCACCTCTTTTTATGACTGCTTGAAGGCAGCATAGTCTTCAACTGTTACATAGTCTTCAAATTTGCTTTGAGTAATGACTTTGCTGGAGACAGCAAGGCTACACAGCAGCCAGCTGAGATGTGCTGTTTCTCTCCCTGTGAACTGCTGGAGAGACGGGCAGGCATCCTCTACAACGCGAAGGTCACCTCTCCTCACCAAACAGCTACAAGTTCACTTATACTTCTCTTCCTCCAGAAAGTCAAAGCTGCGTTTAGTCTCAATTTCCTCCCAAACGGAACCGTGCTGCCGCATCATGGGCCTGAGAAACTTCAACAAAACAGAAGCACAAAATGCCCACTGTGCTAATGATGGGTTTTCTGTTTGGGAAGAACCAAAGTCACCGGAGTTTACCAAATGTGTTTGACTACCACGGCCTCGTATTTCAGGCGGGTGGCCTGCACCAGCCGGCTCGTTTTATTTGCCATGTCACACTTCCCACTTCTAGAGAACACGTTTTTTGGGGGTCTTCGTTTGTTTGTTTGAGTTTTGGTTGTTGTTGTTGTTTCTCCTGTAACAAGGATTTGGAAAAGAATGACAGACTTTGTGCAATAGATCGCCTTGCGTAGCTTCTCTGGACTTCGCACAGCGTGTCCAGCTGTTCTATTTATGTAAGCAGGGAACCGTGCTAGAGATTTCTTAGGCAACTTCACATCCTTATTAGTTAGTGATTGTTGTCCTAAGAAGATCAACGGACTGAACATCACTGTTATTACAAAAGTTCCATTTTTTTTAACCTTGTAGGTTTTAGATGCCA